CACACACCTATACTCAATTGGTAAATAAAGTCAAATCAAAAAATAGTTCATGCAGATTTCAAATATGAATTTCAGAAAACCAAAATCATATCACTCAGTAGATTAGATTGTATGATAACTACTGTAACTTATCTGGCTTTCTAAGTTATAAGTATGTTTAAAACTTCAGTTACTGTTTTGAGCAATGACTTTACTCAACACACATCAACCTTTTCTTTTGAACTATCATCTTTATCTGCCAAAACTAAAGAAGGGAACACAAGATTCCTGTACACCACAATATTCTTTTTCTATTGGTTATAGGGGTACATCAATGTGGGTTGCAAAAATAATATCTCAGTAACCAAGAAGAGGTTGAAAGTGTATATTCTAGCTTTTCTGTATCCAGATAATTTGTCCATAAATTGTTAAACAATCTGAGGAACTTTTTAAGGGAAAAGAAAAAAACCTATTATTGAGAAATCACAATGCCACCACAACATAGGACTCTGATATTGCAGATTATGAACATATTTAAATATTTCCTTTTCAAATTTTAAAACTTTGAATTATAATCTATAATCTTATTGAAATATATTGATTATAAAGTTTTTTGATTAAATTTTGAATGTAACTCTTCAGCCCACCCAAACATTAAGACTTAAAAGTGTATGCAAAACATACTGTGAAATGATTTCAAAGTTACTATGTTTATACAAGACAAAATTCTAATGCATAAAAGTCTTAGGTCATGCACACCATGAACTACTGTTATCTCCTAAAATTAATACCGAGCTTAAATGTGTTATGATTTACCATAATAATTTCTTAGTGGGCATAGGAAGCAAAGCATTACACAATTACTAAGTATGCATGCTTTTAATCTAGTACACATTTTATACAGCATAATATATGACACTAAAATACATATAACACAACAATTTCAAAGTAGAATACCTGTTTATTAATTAAGAAGTAAAAAAACAAGTGCAAATTGTGTTCATGAAACATCTATGCCATCACTAATGTTATACTGCATGCTTAAGTCCCCAATTTGATGTAGTACCTGTACAGAGTAGCAGGACCAACAGACAGCCTAAGGGAGTGGTCAACCCTTCCATTTGCAAATTGCCTAAGGCTTAGCTGACCCAACTGGTAGTACTTGGAAGGGTCCCTTACTCAGAGTCACAAGTGAAGGCCAATGGCAGACCCAGCAGAAGACAACAGTGGAAGTGCAAGTGGAAGAAGAGAGGTGGCGACCTCTTTTAAACTTACCCAACAGAAGGCAACAGCAAACCACTGTTGTAAAATGCCATAAATAAACATGGTCAGACACAGAAAGCAGTTTCTCAACAACAGCGTGAATGGGGCCTCTTTCATACAAGGTGGAGGATCCTCACTCGGTCAGAAATGCCCTATGCGACATGAAACCTGACTATCATCCAATGCCTGTCCACAATCACAAATAAAACATCAAGATAGCAACCTGGAATGTAAGAACATTATACCAAGCTGAAAAGCTAGAAAATCTGAAACAAGAAATGACGAGAATGAAGATAGATATCCTAGGAATAAGTGAAACCAGATGGATATATGCAGGATGCATGGAGATAGACAGGATGAAAATGACATACTCTGGAGACAAGGAACATAAAAAAACGGGTAGAGATCCTAATAAATGAACAAACAGCAAAAAGCCTTCTTGATCATTGGGCAATATCTGAAAGAGTCATTCTTGCACAGATCAAAGGACAACCTTTCAACATCACTATAATTCAGGTATATACACCCACATTAGAAAGCTCAGAAGAAGAAATCGATAAATTTTATGCAGATCTTGATAAAATCAGTATTATAACGGAAGACTTAAATGCAAAAGTTAAAAAGGGATGAGAAGTTGTGCCTTATGGACAGGGTGTGAGAAATGAGAGGGAAAAGAAAACAATGGTACAAAGCCAACAACAAGATCATAATAAATGCCTGGTTCAAGAACCACCCAAGAGTCCGGGAGATAACATTCAGAATCAAATAGACTACATAACAATCTGTAGTAGATTTAAGAATGCAATTACCCAATCAATTGCATGTCCTGGAGTAGACTGCAACAGCAATCACAATCCAGTGGTGTGCAATATGAGGATCAAGCTCAGGAAAATGAAACAATCAAGACCTCAAAAGAAATTAGACTAACCTACTGAGAACTAATTAAGTACTAATGAACTGATACATAGTTACAGTAAAAAACAGAATCCAGATTCTATATACACTGGAGGATGAAAATCCCAAATTTGAAAGATATAAAGCATTTGTGGACACAGCAAAATAAATAATTCCAACTAAAAGGCATGAAACAAAGAACAAGTGAATGATAGAAGAGATTCTGAAACTTATGGAAGAACGAAAAATTGCTAAATAAATTTATACATCAAAATATGAACAACTGAATAAGACAGTGAGATGGAAGTGCACTGAAGCAAAAGTGGCTGAATGATGAATGCACCTAAATAGAAAAGACCAAACAAATTCAACCATCAAAACTATGCAAAGGAATAAAAAACATTACAGGGAAACAAAATGCATGCTCCTCAAGTGGCTGCATTAAAGCCAAAGACAAGCAGTATCATAGAGAAAATCCTTTAAAGATGGATAGAATACATAAATGATTTCTTTAAAGATGAACGAGGTGAAAAACCAAAAATTTGAAGATAGATGGATGGGTTAAAAATTCTCCAGTCAGAAATGAGAAAAGTAGTGAACAAAATGAAAGGAAATAAAGCAACTAGAAAAGATGTCATACTTGTGAACCTGATACAGATCTTAGAAGAGTTTGACATTTTCCAACTTACTGAAATGTTAAATGAAATATAGGAGAGTGAGGAAATTCCAATGGAACAGAGTCCATACATGAATCCACAGTCTCTGGAAAATCTCTAAAAACAAACAGATGTAGAAAAGAAGCTATCTGGAAGTCATGATAATAATGTGAAGGAAGATGAACCTGTGAAAAGACAGTGTCCTTCCGAATAAGATCCCAACAGCAACAAAACTATGTACGAAGGAATATAGCTAAAGAGGACAACAGCACCAATTAAGAGTAAGGAGGAAAAGTGCATTCCCCCAAAAAAAACCTCAGGGGATTGGTGGATTGCCTAAGAAAGAAGATGTGTGTTGGACAAGTACTCCAAAGATCTGTAATGGTAAGTCAAAGGTATAAAATTGGATGTGGAAGAAATGAATAGAATTATCAGGAACAATCCTCCAAAAGAGCAAAAGTTACTCCAACAGCTGGGAGTCGAGAAAAGGATGATCAGCCAAAGCATAAAGATCAGAAGACCATGGAGGGTGAGGCATGCTAACACTAGCCCTCTACTGAGAAATGAAATGCTCATCATGAACCTTTATGTCAGGGAAAGGAAGAAAAACAAGAACTGTAATGACAGGTGTTATGTTAAAAAATAGTATCATATGAAAACTGAAAATGATAAAACGGAACATACCTGAAAGGAATATCTAAAAAGGCAGAGTTTGGCCTAGCAGATTGCATAAGAGATACATGGAAAGGCAAAAGGAGGAAAAATAAAACTGTCACAAACCTCCTCATCATGAACAGGTTCAGAAACTGCAGGAGGAACCTGAACATTGTTAGGAGAAAAAGGATGCCTCATATAACAATTAATCTCCCAATGAATGACAGCTGAAAAATCCTCAGTCATGGCCCCCACACTTGAAGCCCAAAGCCAGTAAAGGCATTTGAAGTAGTGGTAATAATATCAGAATTTGTAAAACACAAACTTTGGAATTCATATTAAACTGTGAATAAGTTGAAAATGAGAAGAAAAAAATCAATAAACAAAGGTAAGTTATCATGGCAAACTACTACAGACAAAACTAACTGTAGCAAATAAACAAATGAGGTAATTCAGTACTTCACAAAAAAAAAAAAGAAATTAACACACGAAAAAAGAGCACAAGTTTTTACAACTGCACTCAATCACTGCCTAGCCAGAAGTGATAGTTTGGTAGAATCAAATAGAATATCAGAATATATCAATTGTATTATTTATAAATAATGATGTCCCTGTCATGTTATAAAGGAAATTTCCAAACGGTACTCACTGTTAGACTTTCCTGAAATTAATGTTACTTTAATAAAGTCTGCTCTTTACACCAACAATTATATTGTGTTTTTATCTTTTTTTTTGCTTTTCTAACTTAGAATTTATTCCAACCATAAAGCCCAAAAAATAAACTGTTACAACAACACTTTGGATAATCAAGGTTTGACAAACATCTGTTCCTTTGATGCAGCCCAAGGTTATTAAAACTAAAATTTTAACAAGAAAACCTCTTTACATTTATATGCATAAGAAGCAGATGTTACAGATAGGGTCTCAAGCACAAAATTTATATTTATGTTATACTTTACAAGTTCCAGGATTTTAACATAAGAATACATACCAATATGATACAACAAGCTTACTGCCTAGTATATAAGAAAAACTTTCTCATAAAAGAAGTATATTTCAATTTCTTTATCTAAACAAGGAAGTGAAAAATGAGAGATCCCCTTTCACTAGAAATTTATCTCAAGTATTTTATCAGAGTGTTATGTATATGAATGGGCTGGATTCATCTACAGGTGTACATGATTTGTTGGCGATAAATTCAAACAATAAATGGACAACACACAATCCACTTGTTTTAAAATAATATATTCAAAACAAGTCAAACTATATACAAAAATTTTTTACAATTGTCAAAAGTTCACTTAGTCTGATTCAATTTGTTTAGAATCCAATTGACAAGTTGAACTATATTTCTCTGCTCTTATCCCAATAGTATCAGTGAATTGCTACCAATCGGATTACCACAGTTGTATCTTAAACTTCAAATAATTGTCTTCTTTTGTCACAGTCTATGCAGACAGGTTCAATTACTTTAGAACACCCTTTAACAACACAAATTATTCTCCTTATCTCTATTAAATAGTGAAACACACTTTAAAATACTGCCCATTCTGGCTAATCACTCACACATCAACTAACTTCACGTTTTCTTTCGCTAACATATTTTCTGACTGAATTGCACTTTACTTCACTTACTTGTACTCCCTTGGTCACCTATATTTATATGTTGTTCACTGAGGCCTTGAGCTTTCTCTAAATTACATGAGCAGTATTAACAATATTAGTAAAGCCTAAACAATAATGTAGTTGGAAACACAATGTACGACTCGTATATAGAGTTACGGAATAAAATTTGTCACAACTATCACTTTTAAAACAATCCTGTCTTAAAAAACTGGACACAATCATCAAATATTAAGTCAATAAACAAAACGAACAATAACATTTACACTAAACAGTCTTGTATATCCAATATATTTGTTTTCATGATATTGATTTAAATTACATGAGTTTTATTTTGAAGAAATACTATATCATCTTTTAAGACTTCAAACACCTACCTTCTTCATTACTGGATGAAACGTCTTTCCAAATCCCTACAATAAAGTAAAATACAATTCAAATAAAAAGTAACAAAACAAAAAAAAAATTATTTCAAAAATCATGTAGTATAGAATAAATTACTTTACTTCAACAGTCCAAATTAAAAACATTACTATAAGGGATTAGAAGTCATTGTTACATAATGTTCATTGAAATTTGCAAAAAGTTACTAGAAGGCTATCTGTACAAGCCATCCCTAATTTTGAAGTGATAGACAAGAAGGAAGGCACCTATTCAACACCATCCATAGCCAACTCTTGGAATACTCTTTTACAAATGAATAGTGAAATTGACCACCATATTCTAATGCCCTCATGACTGAAAAGGCATGGTCAGTGACAGGTTTCAATCCTGCAACCCATAGAATGTGAGTTGAGTGCCCTAACAACCAGGTCATGCCAGACCACCACTGTTATATGCAAACATTTACATTGACCTTACATAATTCATACTTTTGAAATTTTTTAAGTTTACCAAATGAATTGTAAAGAATTTTTTTTTATAGTGAAATGCAAAATGAATGTGTATGGAGTGATTGCTCCATAACTTTAGTCATTATTATTTTCTCAAAAGCAAATTATACACAAAAAAAAGGTTTTACAAGATCTTTTTACAAATAAGCTATTGATGATATAAAAAGATAAATAAATACTAGGTTAAACAGAAAAATAGTAACTGTAGAAAAATTGATAAATGCTTCTTCTTTGGTTCACGTAGGGTTATTTATCACTTTCACGTTTATTTAAAATTCCAACATGTTCCTGTGTACAAATACAGAAATTTAAATCAAGTACAACATCAATCATACTTGAAAGCAAGAACTCTTAAGATAAAATTATAAAAATCTCCATATTCAAATGCACACTTCAACTTTTAGTCATAAGCTGACTTCACAACATTACCAAAACAACAAACATGTATAAAAATAGCTGTGCCAGATTAAATAAAAATAACGTGTTGTGTTATAAAACAGTCAAATTAACAATAATATGGATTTTTAACTGTTTTATTCATTCATGAAAAAGATACTTAAGTAAATACAGAATTAATATTTAACTTTTTCTTGAGACAAAGCAACTGTAAGTAATAAATAATTTATGAAGATTACAACTTGTTAGATTTAATACTGTGCTCCCCAATTATAATGCTGTCACTTATACTGGAGATTCATATACACTGCTAGTCTTCCTTCCTCCTTCTACATTGGACTCGTCTAACAAGGAACTTTCTGTTATGCATCTTTCTTGACTCTAGTTCAGTTTTTAATGGTGTGATTATCTGATTACTGTGTGAGGTTTACAGATGTAAAACTAACCTGTATTATTATTACTTTTTTTTTATATGTAACAGCAAACATAAATAGGAGAAAGTCATACACCATTAAAGAAAAACTAACAATTATTGAAAGAGCGTCAAGCCTTAATATATGAATGGGCAGGATTTTTACAGTGGGTGTTTGCAACTTGTTGACAATAAATTTTAACAATAAACAAACAGCACAGAGTCCCCTTATTTTAAAATAATATATATTAACCCTTTTGCGACAGGTGGGTCTAACTGTGCATGTCATGGTCTTTTAGTAATTTATTTTCAAAACATAATTAAGTAACTTTATTATCACTACATATCAATGAAATTGGCATCAAAACATGGGTTATATTTTAAATTTTAATATTATGTATGTTTTAATTTCTTAATTGAAAAGAAAATATAAATAAAATAAAGCTAAATATTGATTTGCGTGTGTCACATAGCACCTCCTCATGTCTTGTTGCTCAGTTTATATTTTTTTACGCCTACTATATATATACCTGGAAAAAAGTTAAGCACCCCCAAATATTTTTCAGGATTGCTTATTGAAAATAAGGTTTAATTTTCAAATGTTGAGCAATGTTCATAATTTCAAACATAATTAAAAGGATGTGAGCGTTCAGGTGTGACATTTAAATCAGGCACGTTTTTTTCCCCACGTGCAACTTGC